TTTTTAATATTCAAAATTGTAAATTGGTCTGTCTGACAACATAACCCCCTAGTTATGCTGGCTGGTCTCAGGGAGCTCTGCCCCTTGTACTGCTGCCAGCACCACCTCCCCTTTCCCTGCCCGCTGCCAGCTCCTGACCTGCTCAGCTTCAGTACCAAGTGCCATACCCACTGCAAAAATCATGCTACAGGAAACTGCTCTACTCTGGAAAACAAATCTCGGTGACTTTAGTTACAGATAATCTGTTTAGTACAGACAATCTGCTGCAGCATCAAAAAAAAAAAAAAAACCTCCACCTTTTAAAGAAAAAAAAACAAAATGCAATCTTCACAAATGCCTACGCATAGACTTATGCCATCTACTTGACTGACAGACTTTTTCCTGCCATTCTTCAGGATAGAGAGCAAGTAACTTGCTTCTTAGTTTGCTGCAGTATAACAGGAGAAATTAATTACTGATATTACACATGTGAAAGGTTGTCCTCAAATTAAGATCCTTCAGCTTTACAAGGGCTGCTGAAGGCTGCTGTTGCAGTGGGAGAAGAGGGGAAGGGAAATAGGACGAAGTGCAAACATTCAGCCATTTATATGCTAGTGAAAAAAAAAAAGAGAGAGATTTTATTGCTATGGAGAAGTGCATCATTTAAAGTCCCTTTCGGACAGGATGCAATTAGCTGGTATGGTCTTGCAAGAGTATTTTTAGCAGTGCCAGCCACCGTGAAGCCAGTCTGCTTTTGCCAGCATTCACAACTCCCCCTCTGAACATCCTGGAAAAGCTGCACTGTGACTATAGTTCAGTGCTTTAGTGGTTAAGACTACGGCACACTCCTCCCCACACCTTAAGAGTTTGGGTGTCTCAGGTTTTTTGACATTTAGAAAATTATCTGGAATGGAACAGCATAAAAGCGACCCATACTAGTGTATTAACGGTAGCATTCTCTTCCTTGTCTACCAAATAAATAAATAATAGCAATAAGAGCCATCCATTCCTAAAATGCAAAGTTCTGTCATTCCATTTTGTGCTTTGACTGCTCTGATACGGAAACCAGAATATGTCTCAGTTTTGCACCTGCTGTTTCAACAACAGTGAGGAGGAACCGCACGATTTGCAGACAGTGCCTGGGAGCTCCTGCCCTGCACACGCCGGGTCCAAACCCTTTCCAGGTCCAACAGACACCAGGCCAGTTGCCACGTTCTTCAAGCAGCTTTCTGCAGTCAGCTGCTCCCACCAATATCCATGGCCATGTTCCCTATCTGCACAGCAAGTTACCTACCTGGCAAACCCTAAACCCACCAAGTAATCTGCAGATTCTCCTTCAACTTATTTCACCCCTTAAGTGTGTATGAACTGCTGTATGGAAGAGTCAAGACAAATAAATCTGGCTGATGCAATCTTAAGGACAGATGCTATAATCCCATTTTTTGTGAGATTTATCTAGTTTCCCAGCTGCCCTGCAAGGGCTGTTAGAGGAGAGGTGGCACACTGTGCTCCACAAGCTGTTAATTGACATTGAAAATGGAAGCCGTGCAGATTTAACTCACATTTGCAAATAAATAAATAAATAAATAAAAGTAAAATAAATAACAAATAAAAATATGCCTTTATATGCTTGTGGTTGGGAAGTGTTTTTCCTGACAGATTGGAAATTAAGCAAACAGAAAAAATTATTTCAGTAAAGGAGACCTGGTAACTTTCCTTCCCCTCTTCAAATAATTTAGAAATTTAGCAGCCATTTCAGGCTCTTCCATGGAAATGGGCATCCAAGCTTTCCAGGGCTTTTTTGTTTTGTTTTGTTTTGTTTTAGCCTGCTATCCATTAAGACTTCCCTAGGTTTTTTTTGTTGATGCGACTAACATTTTTATGAGTGCTCTGAGACAACAAGAGGGTTTTAAAATGTAACAGGAAGTCTATGGGAATCTCTCTCATACTGTTCCCTACCATTCCTTTCAGCACATCATAGTAAATATTCCCCAGTGCCACTACAATGATAAAGAAAAAAAAAAAAAAAAAAACTTAGTCTTTCTTTCTCCCTTTTTAAGGAATTGACTGGTTTAAAAGTGTAACAAACAGCACTATCATTAACAGTGTAAAGTTCACTTGAATTTTGAAAAAAAAAAAATCAGGGCATGGCACAGATCACTGCATCCAAACTACCAGAGTTTTACAAAATTGTCCAAGTCATTCTATAGGACACATATACTGCAATAAAACGTACAGAGAGATTACAAATTATGAATTATTTTAACAGCATTGCAGCACCTGCAAAGGGAGCAAGGTATTTCCGTCCAAAGCTTTAATCTGCACCTGTTAATTTGGGGCCAAAAGTCCAAGAACACTCAAGTGTGCTGGAATCTACCTCCTCATTCAAAGGCAGAACAAGCACCTCTGTCCAGCTGGCCACACTCCTGGGGCACTTCCAGCCCCAGTAAATATATGTGTTTGTGAAAATATGGTGCGTGCTTTTAAAAATACTGTGCATAACACTTTCTTCACAGCCTGAAGAGATGGTCATTCTGATTCATTCAATATCATTCTGATGAATCAGTTGCTGAAAGGAGAGATAAAAGTGATTCCCACCTTATACCAGGAGTTCAAGATTTGGCTTGAAAAAGCAAATGCAATTTTCCAATGAATATCTGAACTGCACCCTAAGTATTCAAAAAGTTCCCTATATTCTTTGAAGTATTTTTTCTTATTTGTTGCCATTTACAGAGCACTAATACATGTGCTCTGTACATGTACGTACTAATACATACTAATACATTCAAAAACAGAAACAAACAAACAAAAAATTTCTAGAAGCTCCCATAATTCATACTTTGTCTTGGCCAAAATTCAAGAGTTCAGAAAAGCAAGTAGATTTATGTGCAACTTCTGGGGTGCATCTGGGCCAGTCAAAGCTGGCTGCTATCAATCTGCTGATAACACGTAATCCAGCACCCTACGTCTAAAATCAGAGAAAGCTGTTCTCTCTAAGTGCTTGCTTTCCAGCATCCCATTTGAAAATAACATTTTCCTTAAAACAAAACTAATGAATCGTGTGTGAAGTAAAACAATTGAAAGTAGGCAAATTAAAAATTGTTATCAAGTGATGTAAACCACAGCTCTGTGGTTCAAATCTTTATAGACCAAGGAAAGCAATTAGCAAAAGAGAGTTCTGATGCCTTCCTTCAGAGAGGGAGGAATCATGTTCTTTCTTCATATTTTGGGTTTACAGGAGTAACAAAAAAAAAAAAAAAAGAGTTTATGCCAAGGATGAAGCTTAAAAATATGATAATACACAAAAACAAAACAATCTTTCCCAGCACCAAAATCTATTCTCCAACATCTTTCATTGATTTTTCAACTTTTTATTATTACTACTTTATTACTGTCTCTAAAATTTAAATAAGAAATCAAAAAAACCAACAGTGTCTGTCTTATTACAGAGCACAGTACTTTATTTCTAAGAAAGTTTCTATTGCTATGAGTTATCCTTTAAACTTGGATTGAGTATAAGATCTTACTCTCAAAAGAACTTGATGGTAGATTAATTTTGAAGAAGTAAGCAAGCCCGCAACAAAATTTGCATTCTCCAAAATCTTTCATTTTATACGTGTAGCATTTCCCATCTTCAGTAGGCACTTAAGACACAGTTCTCAAGCTTAAACAAATATACCTAGGCTTACTGGCACAAGACAATACTCTTTAGTATAACAGACCTGATCCCAAAACACTAACAACTCATTTAATTGTATTTAGCCAACTACATAATAGGAATTGGTGCTTGGAAAATATGCACGTTTCATACCAGCAGAGATAAGTAGAATTAGAATTTATTTACTTTAAAAATAGAGTATTTAAAGTATTAAATATTGCTTTGAGAACATTGAAAACTAGTACTTCAGGTATTTAAAGCATTAAAGTATTTAAGGAATCAACTTTCAGCTCAGCAGCCGTATTAATCTTAAAGTTTGCCACAGCTGCCATTCCCTTCCAAACATTTTATCAGTGTTCACCAACCTGGTCACTCTCTCCTCCAGGAAAAAGAAGGACAAAATAAATCACAAGAAACCAGAGGAGTCTGTCATTTTCCGTCACGTACACAAAGATTCAGGACAAAAGCACAACCATGTGTTTCCACCTTTTTTGCAGGTACACACAGCTACTGCCCAGAGAGGGGCAGGAGGCAAAGCATCATGCTGTTCAAGGAGTCACTGCGCTAGCTTTTCAGCTCCAGGTGTATATAATTTCACCTGAAGTCACAGCAACAAGAAACACTTTATTCATATAGGAGCATACAGGACAGCATGGGTTCAAGGATAACTCAGGTGGAGGCGTTTAAGAAATGTGGAGACTCTGAACTGGGTTTCACCCTAGTGAGCATCAACTTAACAGTTTTTAAAGAAGGAATAAAAAGGCACAGACAGAGAAAATCAAGGCAACACAGAGCTGTCGGTTTAGCTACTCCCCTCACATCCAAAAGAACAAGATTACTGGCTCCAAACACACCCAACTCTGCGGGATTTAGCCAGTGGGATTTTTTTTTATTCATGTTCAAGAAGGGAAGTGCCTGCTTCAGGTTTTAGATTTGGATTAATCTGCACATGAAGGACACTAATGACCACCAGCAACTTAGGACAACGTCCGTTCCCATTGCCCGTTCTCATCGCTGTGGGTACTGCTGCAGCACGAGAGCACCTCTGTGTTCCTAACTGCCAGGGCAGCAAAGCAACGACACCCAAATCTGCTTTGATCCGGGAAGTCCGGCGGGAAGAGCAACACGAGTGAGAGTGTGACAGACCAGTAACACTAACACTTAGTGCTCGGGCTGGATCCCGCACTCTTAGGTGCGCTGCCCCACACACAAATTCCACCTGAGCACAATTTATTTTCCAGAGCCCTTCCTTCGGGTAAAATCTATCCTCATTCCTAATCCAACCATCCTTCAGATTAGGGAAGGTCTGGAATTACTCAACCTGCTTAAAGCACAGAGTTTCACCCATCCCACCCCACGCCACCAGGCTTTGGCTCGGCGGCCCCTCCATAGCCCATGCGGCAGCCGCGCAGCCCACCCGGCGCCAGGGTGGCATCGTTTGCACCAGCCCCTTCCTCCACGCGCCCTGCCCGTGGGCAAAGTGACGGCTCTCATGTCGCAAGCCCCTGCAGGGGTGGCCAGATGGGCGACCTCGAAGCATGGCAGAGGGCATGCACTTCACAAAGAGCAAGACACGGGTCGGGGTGCTGGCGCCTGCAGCGAAAGGGCCTCCGCTTTGCCCTTGGCCCCAGGGCGCTCACGCTCCCCGAAACAAAGCTGCACAGTGAAGGAAAAGGGGTATTTTCCCACCACTCCCTAAAAAATGAAGGGGCCACACTGTGCAAGGTGATGGACACCCCTGCGCTGGCATCCGCGCACTGTTGCCGGCCCCGAGGAGCCCGAGGTGCTGGCGCCTGCAGCGAAAGGGCCTCCGCTTTGCCCTTGGCCCCAGGGCGCTCACGCTCCCCGAAACAAAGCTGCACAGTGAAGGAAAAGGGGTATTTTCCCACCACTCCCTAAAAAATGAAGGGGCCACACTGTGCAAGGTGATGGACACCCCTGCGCTGGCATCCGCGCACTGTTGCCGGCCCCGAGGAGCCCGAGGTGTGCAAGGAGGAGGAGGAGGAGGAGGAAGGGCAGGACGCCCGAAGCAAGAGCCGCTCTGGCGCCGGGGCAGGAGAACGCGGGGCTCGAGGGGCAGCAGGGCCGGTGCCCCGCGGAGGTGGAAGGGAAATCAGGTTCCGCTGGGGGTCCCCCCCCTCTGCCCCTCCCCCCCCGCGGCGGGGTTCCCCCGGGAATGTCCCGCTTTTGGGGGCGCTGCGCGAGCCGCCGCCGCGCTCCTCCGAGGAGTCTTTTCAAACTCTGTGGGAAGGGCAGGGATGGCTATTAGCGCGCGCAGTCCGGCGGTTCTGCATCCAAAAATAATTCCCAGCCCTGGACGGCTGCCCGCTAACTAACGCCGCTTCATAATCCGAAACGTCTCAAAGAAAGACGGCGAAGAAGGAGAAACGCTCCCTCCCGAGGAGCCGGAGAACCGCCGATGCTCGGGAAGCGCCGGCT